ATTTTCAAGGGAAAGAAGATGAGGGCATAGCCCTCCAAAAATCTCTTCATTTCTAAATCCACCGAGTGCTCCTCTTCTGCTGAGCTCCCCACATGGTTTGGTTTCCTGGTGATAAGCATTTGGGGGACCATAGAAGTTTGGGGTTTCCCCCTACCTATTTCTCCCAGTGCCCCCAGTAATTTGTTCTCCAGTCCAGTTCTAAATATCCCAAATGATGGTGCTTCCCTTGGGAAGTTGATTCCACAGTGCAGCAGATCCCTTGCAATTAGGAAACATTTCCCATTGTCACCCTAAACTTTCTCCATCGGTTTCCCTGACATTATTCCTAGATCCCTGGAGATGGATGTGATGCTGCTGGGGGAGCAGAAGCGTGTGCCTCTTCCATCTAGGGTGACCAGATAGCAAGTGTGAAAAATCAGGACAGCAGGTGGGGGGTAGTAGGAGCCCATATAAAAAAAAGCCCCAAATATCAGGGCTGTCCCTATAAAATCGGGACATCTGGTCACCCTACTTCCATCCAGTGAGGGCCTGATCCAGCAGCCACTGAAGCTCCTGGGAAGACTTCCATTGATTTAAATGTGCTTTGGATGGCACTCTAGCTCTGTAACATGTAATGCTAATATTATCCCCGCTAAACCCACCCTCCAAACCTTAAAACAAAAATAGCATTTTCACTACGTCTAGTCCCTGCAGAAGCAGCAGAAACTTTTCTTGCCTCTGTATGAAGGCAGGCAGGACCTACATGCATTGACAAGTCCTTTTCTTAGGCAGTGGATCAGAGCGGGGTCCAGTCATAGCGAGTGCAGGTCCATCCTGGCTGACAGCCAGAGTTCTGCAATGCCTTATGATCTTCGGTGCAGTTGAGTGAGATGCTCTGAATGGAGTGTCATTAACCTCGTTTCCTTCCTGTGTAGTTACAGCTCTGCACCATGGATTGGCAGCCAGATGAGCAGGGACTACAGCAAGTGCTGCAGTTACTCAAAGATTCCCAGTCTCCTAACACGGCCACGCAGCGTGTTGTCCAAGATGTATCCTTGGAATAAGCCCCATTTTGCGCTCTAGAAAGTCTTTGCAGAACCAAGTTGTGTATGTTTGCTGTGTAAATTGTGCTGAAAGCGAATGGCCTTTAAGTCGAGGTGCCCTGCATAGCCTTAAAATGGGGGGGAATTTTAGTACTCCTGCCCGTGGATTTATTTTGTTATCTTCGAAGAATCTGTGTCGCTGACATGCAGCTTGGCAGCGTGCCCGTCTGGTCCTTAATGTTGTGACGCTCTGGTCCAAACAGATGCTGTGCATCAGCCTTCCTTTAAAATCCCGGTTTGGGCTGTGAGCCTTTTTCTTTAACCTAGCGCTGTAGAAACTGAAGCAACTGAACCAATTCCCCGACTTCAATAACTACCTGATATTTGTCTTGACACGGCTGAAATCGGAAGGTACGTTGTCTGCTGTGATGAAAGTGGATGGAAGATGCATGGGGACTTGTCCTTGTGCCGTTAAGTGTCTCTTATGTGCGAAATTCCTTCGCTGGGGATTGTTGGGATAACTCGCGTGAGCAAGAGAATAGAAAGTTGAGTGCTGGGAGGTGGGTTTCCTTGCCGGTGGGGGGTGGGCGGGCTCCACAGACATATCTGAGCTAGGCCCTCTTGCTTGTTAAATGAGCTTGTATCTGATCTAGGCCTGACACCTTAAGCCCCTCAAGGTTCTTGCTGGAGTATCTGGTAAACTTGAAATTTTAATGCTTTAGAAATGATTTTTCCACAGGGGTTCTTGCAAAAACTAGGCTCTGTTGCAAGTGACTGACTTTCCTAAAAACTTGGAGGTAGTGCTTAGAGTAGGGATCTGGGACTCCTAGGTTCTCTGCCTCTATATGAGATGAAGACTGGGTCAGTAGTTAAGCAGGAGATGGGAAGTCTGTGATTGTTAGGTACTGATCTGCCCCCCCCCCCCCCCCCCCCCAGTATTTGGATGCCTCACAATCTTACACACACACACACACACCCCCTCTGAGGCAGGGAGGTGCTGTTATGCCCATTGTACAGATGGGAAACTGAGGCACGATGAGGCTAAATGGCTTGCCCAAGATCGCTCAGGTGGAGCAGGAATTGAACCCATGGTGCTCTAACCACTGGGCCAGGCTTCCTCTCCAAGCTGAGCCTGTAGTGTTCTGCTCCCAGCTGCGGGAGAGATTGTGGACTAGTGGTTGCAATAGGGGCACTGGGAGCCAGTACTCCTTGGTTCTATTCCCAGCTGAACTTGCTGAGACCTCTTCAGTGAGTGAGTTTACCTCCTGCTCATTCTGGGCCTCTTCAAAATGGGGCTGGTACTGTCTGTCTCAGGGGAAATGCAAAGCCTTGGAGCGCATCGTGAAGGGGGGTTGTGTTCGGAGAGGAATGGCAAGCCATTGTGTTTGGAGATGAAGGTATAGTGTGACTATAACAACAAAAGGCAGATAGCTGCATCCTAAACCTTTGCGTGCATTGAGATTATAGGCACATGTACCTGGGAACCAAACCCACATGCTTGATATCCTTTCACCCTACAGCCTGTCAGAGTGCTTTACCGACTCGATATGTATAGAAATCTCTTCTTCCCCAATCACTCACAGACATGCAACCACCTCTGGGGGGGCGCAGCGACAGCTGTTGATGGAATTTTTTTATTTTTGTTCTCTTTTTTCCTCCCCACCCCGCACCCCCTCTTCCAAAAATTCTCTCTAACCAGACGAACCGACTCGCTCGCTCAGCGGGCTGATCCTGAAGAACAACGTGAAGGCGCACTACCAGAGCTTCCCCCAGCCCGTGGCGGAGTTCATCAAACAGGAATGTCTGAACAACATTGGCGACGCTTCCTCTCTTATCCGAGCCACTATCGGTAAGAGCAGCGGGGTAGGGACAGGGTGGCACTGTGGGAAGTTAGTCCAATTTCAAGTAGCTTATGCCATGTAAGTACATTTGCATGTAGGGGAGAGGAGTATATTGTAATGATCCCCTTAAAGTGAGGCTGTGCTCGCTGGCCTGGAAAATCCTCGATGGCCCATGTTGTGTCGGTTTCTAATCACTGGTCCTGAGCTCTTCCTGCTTCGCCGGCAGTGAAGAATCGGTGATGGGGACTTAGCTGATGCAGGAGGTGGGATTGAACCCTGCTAGACGAGACGCGATAAATCGATCCCCGATGGATCGATCGCTAACCGCAGATCCAGCGGGTAATGTGGACGTACCCTAAGTGTGATGGCTTAACTATGCTGGCATAACTAAAGCAGCAAACCTGTCTCCTAATGTAGATGCCGTTACACTGTACTAGGGCTTCTACCAGGATATCTGTTGCTAAAATAATCACGCCTTTTACTGACCTAGTTATGCGGGTAAAACTTTGTCAGTCAGGTCGAAGTCAGTAAAACGACCGGGCGTGGGTCAAAGGTGCACAGAACCGATGCGGAGCAAGAATGTGTCTGTAACGAGAAGGGTCTGCTTACCTAATTCTCAGAAATCCTCTTGTGTAGAAGCCTCCGGTCCTGATCCTTGCCGGGCAGTTCGAGTAGCCTCGCTGCTTCTGGAACGTGTGGTTCCTGGAGAAAACTGACCTCCCCTTCTTACCGCTAAAGGGGTAGCGGACAGATACAAGGGTCTGACTGTAGTGTGGTTCTAGGGGCTTGGAGGCCTGATTAAACTCACGGTGTTAGAGCAGGCATTGGGGAGGGGATGGTGATAATACCTGTTTGGGGTGGGAAATGACCAGAGCTTACCACAAGGCGTGAAATGTCCTGTGTGTTTCCAACTGGCAGGGATTCTCATTACCACCATAGCTTCCAAGGGGGAGCTTCAGATGTGGCCGGAGCTCCTGCCGCAGCTATGCAACTTGCTGAACTCCGAAGACTACAACACGTGTGAGGTAAGACGGGGTGTCCGGGGAGAGGAGGCCGCGGGATTAGGTCAGGGTCTTTCTCGGCTTGGGCGTATCGAAGGCGAACTCTGTCACCTGCTCAAATCCAGCCCAGCTGGGTGGCCCCGGAGTGAACTGAGTTGTCAAATCTCAGTCTGATCCCCATAGGGATAAATGTCCATGTTTCTGTATTATGGTATCGTGCCTCGGTTTCCCCTCTGTAAAATGGGTCTGCTTTCCTAATGTAACCCACACTTGTGCAGTATGGTTCTCTAGCCGTCGGATTGAACCAGAGTACATAGTTCATGAGTCTGTCTAGCTTTTGAGCTGACAAACGTGGGTCTTCTAGCTCAGAGAGTAGATGTTCATGCTTTTAGATCTAGCAGCCCCCAGTGTGATCCCCACTGCTGACACACACCCCCGTGCGAAGCATCTCATGTTTCACTAACATCACTGGCAGACAAGGTAAATACCTAGATAAGGGTTCTGTGAGGGGAGCGCACTTGGAATTCCGCAGATGGAAAACACTGGGGTAGGGTAAAGTACTGTCCTTCCCAGGGCTGCATGGGCATTTTTCAGGGCCTGGGGCAAAATCTGAAAGTGGGGGGGCCCCCACTCTTCCAAAAAGAGCCACTTGGGGTGGGGAGGCTGGAGAGCAAATTCGCCCCTTAGTGGCGGCTCCTGCTCAGGGGGATGGACCCAGCTCCCCACTCCGGGTTTGGCCCAGCTGCCCCTCTGTCATAATGGAGGACGTCTGGGTCAAACTTGAGTGAGTGGCGTTGTGACCAGTCACAGAGGGTCTTGGCACCAGGTTGCAATGCCCCTTAGTTTGGAGGCCCTCTCAAAGAGGGGCCCAGGGAAAATTGCACACCCTCTCTCTCTCCTCCCCCCCCAAATCCTGATCCTTCCATCCTGGAGTGAGGATGTGGGGGGGGGGGGGGCAGACAAAAAGAGAACAGGAAGTGGACAGAACTCCTCCCAGCACTCATGTTAGCTATACTGCTACGACTATTCTACTCCGTTTTCCCGCATAGACAAGGGCTTAGACTGTCCTTGCTTAATAGCACTTGAATTGCCTTGTCTGGCCTTTGAAATGAATACCTTCCCGAAGTGATCAGGAGAGGGGTCGAGTTGACTCCATCAATGCTACTATTGTTTAGTCCGAGACTGAAGATGCGGGGACAGCAGCGCCTTGGTTTAGTTGTGAAACTCTCCAGTGAGGTGGGACAGAACTTGGATCCTGTGCAAAGCAGAGATGCAGATAAGGCTAAATCTTGGCAGCTCCTTGCAAGTACTTTCCCACACCCTGCAGCGGCGCGCCCTTGGGTCCAGTTACTGTCTGGGTCCAGTGAAACCCCAATTTGGGTCCATCTGAAGTGGCTAGGGGGAGTGATGATCCCTGTCCCAAAGAGTTCACAGTCTAAATAGACGAGAGAGGGTGAGTGAGGGGGGAAACTGAGGCACAGAGTGGGAAGCCCGAGGTCACACAGCAGGTGGTCCAGTGACGTGCCCTCTAGACCGCACTGCCTTCCTCAGGTTTGGTGATAGTGATAGCGTTGCCTTCTACATAGCTGTGGTTATCACCATAACTTCAATGGTAACCATTGTGCTTGGGCCTGGGAGTGCTCACAGCAGTACACAAGCAGCCAGGCGACATTTTCCATCCCTTCTTTGTCAACACTCATGGGTTGAGTTTAGATTTCACCTGCGTGTGTCCGTACAAAGCTATTTTTGCATTGTTCTCCCGAGCACCATACAAACGTCAATCTTCCCTTTCGCTCTGTAGTCAGACGCCAGCGTCGTGCCTTGGGGTGGGGCGCTGGTCTGGGACTCTGAAGATCTGGGTGCTAATCTCAGCTCCTCCACAGACTCCCTGTGGGACCTTAGCCAAATCTCTCTGTGCTTCCATTTCCCCAGCTGTGGTGGGATAGTACCTCCCAGCCTTAAGGAACACCTCCCGGTTTGAGGTGTGCAGGTAACCATAGAACTGGGGGTGGGGCTCCGGAAGTCCTGGCTTCAGTGGAATGCTCAGACCGCTAGCCTGTGTCACTTTCAGGAGCATCCCCACAGCATGTGCGGTGCTAGAGCACAAGATCTGAAGATCCAGGTTCTTGCAAGAGCCCTCACTTTAACTGGGCCCTTCACTGGCTGCTTTCTGCGGGAGCTGGCTGAGGTTCTGAGGGAAGGCTAAAAAGGAATTCTGGGTTAGAGGAATTCTCAATAACCCGGGGTTCTTATTTACAAGGCTCTAACGAGTCCTCTTCCCTTGTGGACCCTTCTGTGAGTGAGCTGACGAGTCTGTTGTGTTTAGGGGGCCTTCGGTGCCTTGCAGAAGATCTGTGAGGATTCTTCCGAACTCCTGGACAGCGATGCTCTGAATCGACCCCTGAACATCATGATTCCCAAGTTCCTTCAGTTCTTCAAGCACTGCAGCCCCAAGATCAGGTGCGTATTCGCTTGCCTGGCGGTGCGGGGAGTGCTGCGCTCTTCGCCGTAGTGCTGGGGTACGGGTTGGGCGTGCGTGGATGAAACCTCGCCGGAGCCCGCCCCTTCGTAACCTCCCACTTCCCTTTCCTGAGTGCATTCGCTTTCTGCATCGGGGGATGTCTCTGGGCTGGTACCAGAGCCAGACCATGATCGCTGGCAAGATGCCAATGAGCTTCCAAGTGGAGGATCTCTCTCTTTTCTCCCTCCCCCCGCTCTCTCTTGATGAGCAGAATGCATGGCCCCATGCTTCTCAGTAAGCTGAACAGTGTTCAACAACTGACCCCGAAGGAGCAGTGAAAATTCTGTACAAGTTGCCAGTTAGAACAGCAATCCTGCTACACAACGTTATGCTCCGAATGAGATTTAAGTAGCATCTCTCCTGTATGATTTATCTTACTTGTCTGGCCCCCATCACGACAATATCTGGGCATTCACCATCTTTTATATGTTAATCCTCATCACCCCCCTCCCCCCCCCATGGGGCAGGGCTATTATCCCCATTATACAGATGGGAAACTGAGGCACAGCGAGGCTAAGTGACTTGCCCACGGTCACACAGGGAGTAGGTGGCAGAGTAGGGAATTGAACCTGCGTCTTCGAATTCTAGGTAGTGCCCTAACCACTCCACATCCTTCCTCTTGATCTCCATGCTGTCCCTTCTGGGGTGAAAGAACCAACTTACCCTCTGCACCACAGTGGAGGAGGAGAAATTGGCCCCGGAACCCCAGGGCAACCCCCCCCCCCCCTTAATGTCTAGATAGGGCCCCCTGGTTTCTACAGGCTCTCCCAAGAGAACCCCATCCTGGTGAACTACATGCCACTGGGTTCCATCATCTGCACAGGCTGAAGGGCGGAGCTGGGCCTGCATGCAGCCCACGGAACAGCTGAGAGCTCTTGAGATCAGAGCTGTGTACTGGTCCCACTAACGTCCCCACCCATGGGAAGATCGGAGGTCAAGCCCTGAAATGACTAGACAGGGGCTGCTGTTTGAGCAGTGACACACACCTCCTTTGTGCATGGAAGCTGAGCTCACTACCCCGGGAACAATCCCTAGCTTTCATGTAACACTTTTCATCTGTAGATCTCAAAATACTTTTCAAAGGAGGTTGGTCCCATTATCCCCATTTTACAGGTGAAGAAACTGAGGCACCAAGAAAAGTGACTTGCCCAATGTCACTCACCCATCCAGTAGAGCCAGGAATAGAACTCAGGTCTATCCACTGGGGCCACACTGCCTCCCGATGTCTGTTTCACAAGAGTGGCAGGGTGACCACCTAGAATATCTCAGTGACCCACTACCTTTTTTCCCCCCCCCTTGATCAGGTCCCATGCCATCGCCTGTGTGAATCAGTTCATCATGGACCGAGCTCAGGCGCTGATGGATAACATCGACACCTTCATCGAGGTGAGGAGCCAGGAGGCATTTCAACCCACTCTCGCTGGCAGGCCAGACCCACGTGCAGCACTCTGCCTGGATGGTCTTAGACAGACGTGCCCGGCCTAATGTTGCTGGTGTGCTCAGCTCTCCCATGAGGCACCTGTATGCAGACCTCCCTGAGTGCACCACAGCCTGCGATCCCAGAGAACGCCAGTGTGGTGATAACACCCAGCTGTAGCTCTTCATCGGTAGCGCTCAAAGCACTTTATGAAGGAGATTTTACAGTTGGGGAAATCGAGTCACGGAGGTGAAGTGACTTGCATAAGTCACCCCGCAGAGCCAGGAATAGAACCTGGGTCTCTTGCCTCCTGATCCAGGGTGCTATCCCCTGAGCCGAACTGTCTGCCACGTGGGGGGTAGGGACCATTATTGTATCCGTGCCTAGAACCGTGGAGCCCTGCTCCCGGACGGGGGTGACAAATATTCACAAGCTCTGTCTGGCCCCTTTGTACAAACACCACCTCGTATCTCCCTCCTGTGTTAGCCTCCGACTCGTGCCTCCATTTTAACCCCCCTCCCCCGGACTTCTGGCCTGTGCTGAGCAGTCCCGAATATATCCGTAACTTCCTGTACTACAGGTCTGCCTCTGTGTAGGCCTGCGCAAAACAGCCCAGTGCACTGGAATTCTCCCCTGGCTTTCACAGGCGCTGTAGTGTGTAGAAATCCCTCCCCCACCCAAGTTAAACCAGAACCGCGCTGTCTGAAACCCAAGCCTGCTCCAGCCCTGTCAGGCAGTGGCCTAGGGACTGGCTAGGCCTCTCTCTTCCATGCCATGGACGTCAGCTAGGGAATTCCTGCTCTAGGGACCCATGGTGTCGATGAGTCCCAGCTCCCCCTTTCCCCGTAGCACTTGTTCGCTCTGGCGGTGGACGAAGACCCCGAGGTTCGGAAGAACGTCTGCCGAGCGCTGGTGATGCTGCTAGAGGTCCGGATCGATCGTCTGATCCCTCACATGCACAGTATCATTCAGGTGAGTCCCAGAGCGGGATCCCGCAGGCTCTTCTGTGGCGGAATGGGCTTTCTGGGGACGCTGGGGGTCAAATCAGCAATTAACTGGTGTGTGTGTGTGTGTGTGTGTGTGTGTGTGTGTGTGTGTGTGTGTG